CTCAGGCTAACAGGTCTCATCACAGGCCTGATCTGGTCTGTTTCTACCCCTAGGCATGACCCCCTCGGATTTGGAAGCAAGTCGCAAACGTAACACTTGGAAATAAGCGTGGTGGCAACCATGTAATTCCCACACATTTTATCCACCCAGATTTCACTTACTTTCAACATCCGACCGTGTTCCTTCTCGAAGATCATCCTTGGAGTCTCGCCCTCACAGTTTGGTTCGTTCACGAAGTAAGGGGGCATAAATCCCTGCACATACTGTGAATGAATAATGTTAATAATATATTATTTCTGTTCTTTAATATAAGAACTAGTTGATTAATTTGAGTAGATTAAGAAAACTTGTTAAGTTAATTATTTGTAATAAATAGGTGTTGTTTTTCTTAAAATATCATTGCTAATAAAATGTATTGACTAGAATTACCATTATTATAAATATTACTTTAGAAAAAAAAAAGATAATTATGAGAGAGAAAGTGAATTATGGTCTTATATTTAGAATCAAAATAAAAATCAAACGAGCTCTTATATTATCAGAGGTAGTATACGAGATATATATATATATATAGTTGCAATTTAATAATATGTTAGAGGTGACTCGCCCTTCTCATTGGCAAGGACTGAAATGCCTCGGCAACGTTGAATAAAAATTACTCCTCCGGTCCTAATTATAAGACCCAATTGATTTATTTGAGGAGATTAAGGAAGTAAGTTAAGTTAGTTATTTATAATAAATAAGTGTTGTCATTCCTAAAATATCCTTGCTAATTAAGTATATTGGCTAAAACTATCATTATTAGAAGGATTATCTTGGAAAAAAATGCATAAATATAAGAGACAAAATGGATTGGGTCTTATAATTAGGACCAAATAAAAAGTCAAATTGGGTCTTATAATAAGGACCGGAGGAGTAGCTAGCTAGTAGCCCTTATTTGATTAGATAGCTAGTTACTGCATTGGTGTCCGTACCGAAGTATTCTCTCCTAATAGTGCAATGAAGGATAGTGTCACTGTTGTTCCTTCTCCAATACAGTGGGCTATCTTCACCGGCAGCACGGTGGAGAACGAGGAAGGCCTGTCGGTGATCCTGAAGAGCATGCAGCCAAGAAGAGAGGAGTCTCTCCGTTGTTATTACGCAACCCAATCTGCAGGGTTCAATATATTAATATTACAGTTGAGATTAATTCCCTTCAAGTAATGAAGTTGCACAAAGAAAGACAACATTCTTATTATTACCAGTGATTTTTGGAACATTGTGATGATGGCAACACAGATGAGGAAAGAGCCACGAGAGGCTGCGCAGTGAAGAGGAGTATTGCCTGTGTCATTTTTCAGTGACAGAATGTCTAGGGCTTCGTCATCTCCCCGCTGCTGGGATTTGATTGCATCGATCAATAGTTTGACAGTAGTAGTGTCCTCTGTCTCAATGGCGGCGTGCAATGCCGTGTCTCCCCACCTGTTGATCCTGCTCTTCTGAACCTCTGGATCATTATAAATCTCCACCACATGATTCCATTTTCGATTCTTCACCGCAAAACACAGTTCCATTCCCTTGCTCATCATCAAATTGAGCGCTTCCATTTCGGAAACAAAACGGAACTCTGCCATTTCAAACTAAAACTGATTTTACGACTATCTTACGCGGGGTGCAAGGGATCGATGGATCGATCAGCAGGAATTAATTAATGATGACTAAGACCAGACGGAGCTTTGTGATGATTTAAGCAGGCAAGCTAAAGCCGTATGATATCATGGCCCCATGATGGGAAGAATATGATTACTTTCGTCTCATCCGTTGGAAAATATATATATTATACTACATCCGGTCCTTAATATAAGACCCTATTTGATTTTTATTTTGATCCTAAATATAAGATCCCAATCCACTTTGTCTCTCATATTTATACATTTTTTTCCAAAATAGCCCTTCTAACAATTATAGTTTTAGTCAATACACTTGATAAGTAAGGATATTTTAGAAAAGACAACACCTATTTAGGACAAATAACTAACTCAACTTACTTCCTTAATCTTCTCAAATTAGTTAACTGGCTTTTATACTTGGGACCGGAGGTAGTAATAACCTTGAAAATCTTCATGTGGGCCAGTTTTTCATATATTCCAACCTGTCTGCAGAATTGTTTTGCTTATCAATTGTCTTCTAAGATTAACATAAACAAGCTGCACATCGGTGTGACTTTAACAAAAGAAAAAAGAGGGCTGTGCAATTCATCTTATCATGCAAGTTTCAATTTGAAGGTAAATAACACTTTACCATTAAATTTGAGTAGATTAAAAAGTTAGATGAGTTTATCAATTATAATAGATGTGATTTAATCTTCCAAAAATATCCATACGTAATATTAGATTATATATTAATTTATAATATATCTAAATTAGTTCAAAACAATGATAAATATGAGAAACAAATTAAATGGATCGAGCTGTTATATATTTATGATCAAATGCAAATCCTAACTAGTTCCTATATTAAAAATTAGAGGGAGTATCTTCATATGTATACTTTGTTTTTTTTTTTTTTCCTTCCCATTTTAGGGGATATTTCAAGTATGAGTTTTTAAAAGTAAAAATAATGCTTATGCTTCCTGCCTTCAGTTCAAGGAAAAATAAAAGACACCTGCTTCCTTTCAAAAAGGAAAGAGAGAGAGAGAATTAAATGACACGTTTGTTTGTTTGCTTTTCGTGTTTCATGCATGTTTTGGATGATTTTGGTTTTCTTCTTCTCTTTCTGCTTTTTTTTTTTTTAAAAAGAAGATGTTTGTTTCTCTTTGAAAATGTTTCTTGTTTTGGGACCCTTTGATCATCATCTTCATCTTAATTCTAACCTCTTGTTCCAAGAAAGCAGTCATGATGTGAACCTCATCATTCATAGCAACAGAAAACCAATTAAGTCCATCCCTTTAAGGAGTCAATGGATGATTAATATTCATTCCACCATGTCATATACCTTCTTAGGTCCACCTTCATAACACATATAGGAGCGATGAAATTCTCCTTTTGTATAATTTCACAACATCCTGACTAACTATTTTCGTGACAAAAGCTCTTTAATAATTTTCGTGAACAAAACCAGGGTGAACTTTATTAAGCCTGCTGCACGGTACGTAATTTAGAGAGACATTTATTACATATTTTAATATTATAAATGTTAATAAAATAATGAGGAGTAAATTCTAAATTGATCGATGAGCGAGAACATTTAAAATAGACAATGACCCTCTTGTCCTGAATATTAATCCTAGTTAACTAGTTCATGAAAATTTAAAAAAAATTAGTTAAGTTGATTATTTTTTATTATCGTGTGAAAGATTCGAAGTAAATGGTGTGTGGTGGCTCTAAAATGAAAGTCCAAAATTAATCAATGAGGACAAGAATCAGGACGCGAACGGAACGAGTTTCAGTGCGAAGCGGCTTGATGAGTATAAGGAGCTCATCACTGCTACGCACCGTTTCATTAAAGTTCAAAATGATCTTGACCGTTCACTGATAAGCGATCTAGAATTTGTCTCTTGTCTTCGCCCCCCCTTCTTCTTCGGCATCATCTTCATGCGCAGGTAAACACCTGATCAATAATCTCAGCAAGATGCTTCAGGAGGTGCCTACAGAGAGTAGGTTTGAAGGATCTTGCCTAATAGTTGGGGTGCAAAGTGCTGCGACTTTGACTTCTCTGGCTTGAAAAATTCGTTGTCTTGATCTTTCAGAGACATTTTTTCTGATTCTGCTTCTGCTTCTGCTGGGACAGTTGCCGTTGGCATTTTTCCCTTTTTTTTAATGAAAAGGCAAAATGCATTAATTAAGTAGGGATACAGATTTAAAGGTTCATTACACTAGAAAAAAACAAGACTACCCGAAGCAGCTACTTTAAAATGATCAAAAGTAAAAGTCCAAGAGCTGCAGAAAGTCCGAGACGATGACATCCCGTGATTGTGCTTTGGGGCAGATTGAGACTTGCTTTTTAATTGCGAAAAATATCCAGTTTTTCTTGAATGGCTGCCTCATGAAAAGGAGAGTTGGTATCCAAACCAAAGCTGCCCTTAAACAACAGCGGAGGAGGTTTCTGTTGAAACATTCGAGTTTTCTCCAGGAGACTTTGATTAAAGACTGGCCCTGGTACATTCTTTGAAGAAGAAGAGAAGCGAAAATTTGGAACTTGCATATTATTAAAAAAGAAAAAAAAATAGAACTTGCCTTGAATGGAGGGAACATCCTTGACTTTATCTCAGAGAACGACATCGCATGGCAATTGAATAGAGGGAACTCGTTCTTGACTTTGTTAAAACGATGCGCATAAATGATGAGCTCTCAGTGCTCATCACCATGCTTAGCACCGAAACTGAGTCGATTGAATACATTTGTAGAGCCCACAAAACACCATTAGCAAAGTTGTATTTTCATCTAAAACAAAATAAAGTTATTTGTAAATAATCAAATGCTACTGTTTCACATAATAAAATTCTCTTTATTTTGCAAAGAAAGCATAAAAACTACTTAAACTACTCTTCCGATGCCTCTGCGTCTTCATTTTTCTTCTTGTTCTTCCCTTCGTCTTTATCTTTCTTCTTCTTGTTCTTCTCCTCTTCATCTCGTGGCGTTTCTTCTAACGTTTCCACATAGAATGGCCTGGGGATTGGCATAGGAGAAAAACTAGCCTCGAGAAGACGACAATAGAGTGGAATCTGAGTTCTCGCGTAACAGTAGAGAGGGATGAAAGTGAGGCCAACGTACAAGGGGACATACGCAGACGACCTGTTTATGGGGCCAAAAAGTTCAAAGGTATGCGCAGCACAGAAAGAAATCAACATAGACACAACTGAGAGAAACAGAGAAGCTAAACCCAAGCACAGGGACGACGGCAGAAGTCTCCAGTACATTTCGGGCCGATCACTTGGAGAGCCGTAAATGGAAAGAAAGGCGGAGAGGGAAGTGACGGAGGAGCAAAAGGAAACCAGTGCCGTGATAGCAAACATGTAGAATTCATAGTTTGCCTACAATCGGCCTGCCGTTGCCTCCGTCGTAGCCTCCCGGGATCTGGTAGCACGTTGCAAAGGTAACGCAGGAAATAAGCGTCGCCGCCACTATGTAATTTCCGGATATTTCCTTCACCCATTGGTTACTTTTTTGCACCCGATCAAGGTGTTCCTCCACGAAGACCATCCATGGCGTTTTGCCTTCCTTATTTTTCCGTTCACTGAACTCCGGCGGCATCATATCCTTCACATACTGCATACATAAATACATACGTATGTACAGTTGAATGATAGCTAGAAATTACTCGTATTAATTAAGCTAAGTGATCACACACACACACACACACATATCAAACCAGCGGATTTCCCATTGCGAGTGACTGGCAGACATAGGTATAAGGCTATGACGACAAAGCATGGCGACCAAGTGCAAGGCAGTATTGCCATGGACGTCGGATGCATGGTGGAGCTTCCGATTCCAGATGGATGGCTTCTTCATGAATTACTTATCATTGCTCTCAACAATGATAAGTTCTATAGTAGGAAATGATAACTTTCAACTTGTCATTGGAACTTTTTAGTTTTTTTTTTTGGGAATCTTATTGTAATTATTCTTATGTTTTATATTTCTCTCTACATTTATAAAGTTGACAGGGATAAAATTAAAAAAAAATTATTAATTACTCTACAAGTTATGTATATTTATACAATAATTTTTTTCTTACAAATGACTTATAAGTAGTAACAGAATATGTGTGTGTGTATAGCTTCCTTATTTCTTGTTGCTCCATAAACAAGCCTGCTACCTTTCTACACTTCTGGCTAAATTATTCTTTTCGTGGTGTAAGACAAAATAAAGCAAACAAGGGCGTTAAAGGACCTAACCATCTACCTGTTATATCCTGGACTTTATTGGTTACTTTTCCTATTACTCATTCCGTTTCCTTTTATAACAAATAATTATCAAAATCGTATGATTCGAAATATTAATTAAATTTAATTAAAAACAATAAATATGCAAGATATGTACAGTAAATTTCCCCTTACTAATGAAGAGAGTAGAGGAGATCAGAGATACTCATGAGCTAATATTTATTATAAAGAGATAATAAGCATAAATAAGAGTAATTTATTGCAGAGGGATAATAAGTAAAGTGTGTGTATATATTTAATGAGGGCAAAATGAAGATATTAATTTAAAATTTTAGACAAAAATTTTATTACTTAAAAATCATCATAAGAGAGATTCTTTCTTATTAAAAAAATTAGAGGAAGTATTACTTGACATTGTACGTGAATTTGTGAAATCATATTGTCCAAAAGGAAAGAAACAGGGTCCGGCAAATTAAAGAAACAAAAATTTAAATAATAGGACTCGACTCGTTTTGTAATTTTACATAGGTTAAAGTATACTTTTAATTTTTTAACTTTACATGAGGTTTTACTTTGGTCTTTTAATTTTAAAAAGTAAACTTTTAGTCATTTAACCTTGAAACTGTTAACACAAAACAATGATATTGAGCTCTTAAATATTGATATAATATTACTAAATGCTAATATATTAAGTTTAATTTTCAAAATAATTATGATTGTTATAAAAAAAATATCATTTAAAATGAACAATTTTAAAGTTAAAGAACTAAAAGTATACTTTTTAAAATTAAGAAGCTAAACTGAAACATTGCATAAAGTTAAGGAATCAAATGAATACTTTAGCTTTTTACATAAGACATGTATGTTCAACTATAAATTGGTGAGAGAATCAAGACGATAACGTAATGGGAAAATAACCACACACAAAAAAGTATACTCTCATTTATAAGACACTTCTAACATGTTTCATATAGACCAAAAAAAAATTTAAATTACATTAACTCTTCATTAAAATATAGCAATTTTTCAACTTTACTCCTATTTAATATATACACCTTTAAAAAAAAAACTACCCACACTATAGTAAATGAAGGACAATGTAGTATATTCACAATAAAAATTTAATAAAATAACTTATAAATAGGACCCAAAAAACTATCTCTCTTTGTCTTATAAATAGGACCAAAGGAGTATATTAAATTTCAAAAAAATAAATAGGTTATGCTAACAGCTTTTGTAATGTATTGTAATAGTTTTGATAAGTTAAAATCTATCAAAATCACTTATTTATTATTTTAAATTCAACAAGTACTTTTTTTAAAACATTTTTCCTGAAATAATCCTCCACAAAATGTTAATCATTGCAAATCTTACGACACTATGGTTGCATAGAAATTACTTCCTCATGTTTTTAATATAAGATTTCATTTAACTTTTATTCTGATCCTAAATATAAGACCCTAACTCATATTTAATCATTTTTTTAAAATAATTCTTGTAATACTGGTAGTTATAGCCAATATACTTGATTAGTAAGGATATTTTTAAAAAGACAATATATATTTATTACAAATAATTAAATTAACTAGTTTTTATAATATAATCAAATTAGTTAACTAGTTTTTTTTATTAAGGACCGGAGGTAGTATTACTTCCGGTCTTTAATATAAGAGCTAGTTTAATTTTTAATTTGGTCTTAAATATAAGACTCAAATTCACTTTGTCTCTTATATTTATTTATTTTTTTAAGGTAGTCTAGTTCTAACTAATACACATGACTAGTAAGGGTATTTTAGAAAAGACAACACCTATTTATTATAAATAACTAACTTAACAAAATTTTTTAATTTATTCAAATTAGTCAAATAGCTTTTATATTAAAGATCATATTAGTATTATAACATTCACATCAGGGATCATTGGAGGCACAATAGAGGAGTCCTAGATTAAATATGCACATATCCTTTCTGGTTTGAATATATACATGCATGCACGATCAGCATAAATATTATATTCGATTAAGCATGCAGTACAGTGTCGGCCCACTTGTTCATCTTGGCCAGCCACAGCTCTGCACATCGTGGAAGGCCCATCATTGTGCCCAGCACAGCCTCCCAATCTCGCATCTTTACCCGAAGACGCATTTTCCTAACTGCCTCAATCTTCTAAGCCTCCCCAACTAAATTCATCGCTCTCCGATGTGTATAGACAGACACACACACAAACACTTCAACAAAAACCCTACAAAAGAGATCTATATACAGGCTCCATCTAACACACACCCTACTATTGCTGTTTCTTATATATCACTCCGTTTCTATTTACAACTTATTTATACACCAGGCCCGTAATTCCAAAAGTATATTAAATTGGTGATTTTTTTTTTTAACATCTGCCTTTGTTAAAGAAAGGGTATTAACAACATATTTTAGAAAGAATTGCAATAAAGCCTCAAGAAAGAAACATAATTACCAAAAAATTCTAATGACAACTGGACAGCTTGTAATGATAAGTTCTGTAATAGAGAATGACAACTTTTAACTTGTTATTAGAATCTTTTGATATTTATTTTCTTTTCTTAGGACCTCATTATAATTATCCCTATGTTTTATATTTTTCTCAAATATTTGTCTTATCTCTCTCTACATTCAGGATAAAACAAAAAAAAAATCAATAATTACCCTACAAATTACTTATATTTAAGAAATAACTTTTTTCCTACAAATAACTTATAAACAGTAACAGAATAATATGTGTGTGTATATATAGCTTCCTTATTACTCGATGCTCCAAACAAGTCTGCTCCCTTTCTACACTTCTGGCCAAATAAGACAAAATAAAGCAAACAAGGGCGTTAAAGGACCCCGCCATCTCTCAGTTATATGCTGGACTTTATTGATTAACCATCTCATTGCTCATTCGGTTTCTTTTCCTAAGGAATAATTATCAAAATCATACTATTCAAAATATTAGTTAAATTTAATTAAAAGCAACAAATACGTAAGTAATTTTTTTTCCTCACTTATGAAGAGAGTAAAAGAGAGATAATGAGTAAATATTTAGTATAAATAAGAATAATTTATTGCAAATGAATAATAAGTCAAGTATATATATAATTAATAAGGGAAAAATGAAAAGATTAGTTTAAAATATTAGACAAAAAATTTATCACTTTAAAGCCACGACGAGAGAGCCCGTTGCTTTAGAAGAAACCATAGCCGGTTACATCCGACTTAGTCCAAGAGGTTGGGTCTTATTGTCCAAAAACAAAAAAGAGGGTCCGGCAAATTAAAGAAACAAAAATTAAAATGCTGACCTTCCATATGAATTATTACTCATTGAGAAATAAGCCATATTTTATTATTTATATATATCATAAATAGTAATAGGACTTGACTCAGTTTGTAATTTTACATCGGACACGTATGCTCAACCACAAATTAACGAGAGAAATAAGACGACAAAATAATGGGAAAATAACCAAAAAAATATATTGAATTTCTAAGAGATATATAAGTTATGCTGACTACTTTTGTAATAGTTTTGACTACTATTATAATAGTTTTGATAAGTTAAAATATATTAAAATTACTTATTTGTCATTTTAAAATTCAACAAGTATTTTTTTATTATTTTTCCTGGAAATTTGTGATATGATTAAATTCTAATGGCCAATGTACAATTGCATATGAAAATATGTATTAGAAATATATAATCTTTATATATTATTTATAGACTTTCGTGTATATATGAGGGAATTGAAAGCCAAAGGAAAGCCGAATTAGCTGATTTGTATTTGAATTTTAATTGTGCCATTTTGATTAACAGAAATTCCAAACGAATCAGATGCTTCTTACTTTTCTTTTTGTCTGTCTCACTTGCTTGGAATGTAATCCATCCATGTTCTTCACTTTTATCGCACCATCCGTTGAAGACAAGTCAACAAGTGGGCAAAAGTAATTCCTCTTAAAAAAAAAAAACAGAGAAAGGGGAAGACAATTAGTTTCTTCTTTTTGGATCATCACCCCTTCATTTCTCTTTTCGTGTTTCACGTTTCGGATTTGATTTTCTTCTTTTTTTATTTTTTTAATTTCACATACAGATTTATCTGTAAATTATAAAAACGTATTAAATAATTAACTTGAATGGAACAACGTCCTATTTAATTAAATTGGTAATTTTTTTAAAAAAATTTGCCATTATTAAAGAAAGGGTATTAACAGTATGTTTTAGGAAGAATTGTAATAAAGTCTTAATTAAGAAATATAATTACTAAAAAATTCTAATAACAACCAAGCAACTTATAATGATAAGTTCTATAGTAAATAATGACAACTTTTAATTTTTCATTAGAATTTTTTGGTATTTATTTTCTTTTTT